TATCCAAAAATTGGGCATTCTCTGGGATTGGGTATTTATCTATGTATATTTAATTACAAGATTTCACATATACAATTTTCAAACTCATGGACAAGAATTTGGGAGAACCGGCCTTGACAGAAAAATGGGCAAGTCTCGGGAATTTCTTCTTTCTTTCTTGGACACACATACAACAACCAAACCCACTAATTTCCTACACAAATCATCAACCAAAACTCCTTTTCAAATTCCCCAAAACTCATCCCCCACCTTCGGCATCTTGGTCCTTGACAACCCATACACCCACACAACTAATTAAAGCTCACAAGCAACAATTAATCCACCAATTTTCAAGGATTAGAGAAGCCAACTTACCAAAAATGCTCAACAAGCAAGCTGGAGCTGGCGGGATGAGGGAAGAGTCGGCGGGAAAATTGCAGGGGGCTTCCACGGGACCACTAGAAATTGAAGAAAGGAGAATTAGAATAAACCCACACACATCAAGGTTGAAAAGAGGAGTTTCTGGGCTGATTTTTACCAGGAAAACCAGCAACAGCCGGCGGCAGAGGGGGAAGGAACAGAGCAGATCCGGCGGCTTTTCTGCAAGGGAGGAGATTTCTAAGTCCTAAACTTGTTCTTGAGCAAGAGAGGAACAAAATTTATCAAGTTCTCTTACCAAATTTGCAGATGGGGGCTTCGGTTATGGCTGGTGATGACCGGCTGCGGAGGAGAAGAAAAACAGAGCAGACACGCGAAATGGCTGGGGGAGGAAAGAAAGAAAGAAGAAAAAGAAAAAAAGAAGTGAGTCAGCCGGCCTTATCCAATAAGTCTTAACCCCTTTAAGTTTGAAAAATTGACAGTTAGGTCCATTAATAATGTTTCTTCATCATTAAGTCCCTAACTCAAGTTAATATGCTTGAAATTTTTGGGGTATTACAATATCAATATTCCTATGATGATTACTAATGTAGAAGGCTCTCAATACTCAATTAACCCACTCGAATAGGGCACATCTCTGTATGCTAGTATTATAAATAGTTGCTTCCTAGCCTATAATAAGGCACTTGTCATAGGTGAAGTACTTATTTAGTTATTGGGAAATGATTTTTGAAACAATCTTTTTGTACCACTTTTTTATATAACCTTTTTGTACCACTTTTTTATATAACCTGATGTGTCATTTACATGATTGGTTCTTTTTATTCACGTGGATCCCGTGATATTGAATACATCCACTTATTTAATGACAGGTGAAAGTTGTATCAAAGGGTGGCATAAAAAAATTGTTCCTATAGTACCGTCCTTAGTTGTTAATAAAATCTATGATTTTTCATTAAACGCACTTAAGAAAATTAATTTCCTTAAACATATTGAGCTGATATGGGAAGGTGCACCCTTAATATCTCATAAAGAGGAATTAGTTTTGAGGTGCATGAATTGTAAATACAAAAAAAAAAAAATCTATGATTTTTAAAACTAAATGGTAATGATATACAATATCTTACTTGTACAATTTTTATTTGCAACTTTCACATGTTATTAAATAAATGAGTGCATATAATATTATAACCAGGGCTGTTAACAAGTTGAGTACCAAGTACTTGTCTTTAATCTCATTTAAAAGTTTGAACTTAAGTATTTATTGAGTTCAAAATAGTTAAGGTGGTGCTTACATTTGTGAGTATATTCAAGCAAGTTCAAACTTACTCACAAGCTTAAGCATGTGCTACAGTACTTAAGAGAAAGAGTATTTAGCTTGAATTCGAACTTTGTTGTTGTAATTCTAATTTGTTTCAATAACCAATTGTTCAACCATAAATTTTTGTACATTTTTCAAAAATATTTTAGTACCAAAAGATTAAACAAAAGCATTCTATTTAATCCAACAATAAAAAAACAACCATAAACTCCATTTGACTATTTTTATTAATGGTTCTAAAAAGTTCAAAATATATAACTTAAGTTACATTTTCAACTTTATTAAGTTTATAAATTATTATATATAAATTGAATTAATGAATATATAATATAATTTTAAATCTAAACAAAGTACTCATAAATAGCTCATGAATTTTTTTCATTCTTTTTGAAAGGTAAAGAAACTATTTAGTGATATGTTAGTGTTTCTTCAAAAATCCTCAAGTGGCACCACATGTAGTAGATCTAGATGTGGGTATGCCACTTGCTTTTCTATACAGCAAGAAAGAAGAATTTCCCAATGAGCCTTTTCTTCCAAACGGTTGACCTCCATTTAGATGATTGAAAGAACATTGGTTTAGAGTTGAGTTCTACATCTTTAGATGATTTGCAAGAAAGAGATGCCTTCTTGTAGAATGGGTTATTGATCTGCCTTAGACAGCTCCAAGGATTTTAAAACACCACAATTAACTAAAGCTTAAAGATCCACAATAAATGAAACAAGTGAAATGAATGAGCCTTCATTGAAATTTATTAATAGATTTGACTATTGAATTGCTAACAAATTAAATTAAAATGTTGCAAAACTAGAAAATTAAATGGGCTTGAAGCTAGAATAAAGCTAAGTAATTATAATGTTTAGGCAAACAAGATTGGAATTAACATGAATATTAATGGCAAGCTTGAAAGCCATATAAGTTGACATTTGAGGAAATGACACTTATCTCAAAATCACTAAATAAACAAATAGATTGCTGTAGAAGTTAGAACTAACCTAAATCTAATTGGAAGTTATGCTAAAATTAAGATCTATGAGCTTTGTGAACAGTAGCTATGAAATTAGGAAGTTGAATTTATTGAGTTGTGTGTAGGGCTAACCATATGTTGCTTCTACTGAATTTTTTCTCTTTTATATGTCTTGAGGTAGATGGTAACTTCCCATTTCTATTTGTCTAGAACATGGCAGACTTTCTAGGGTGGTTGGACAACTCAACAGCAAATCTAGTCAAAACCTTCTCCAATACTCACCACCTATATGCCACCTCACCCACTTGTTGAAGTTGGGCTACAACTTCTCCTAAAATTTAGCCATGATCTCGACTAACGTTAAATAGCACCAAATAAATAGAAGATAACTACAAATAACACTAGATTTGATTGAATATGTGGCAACCATCAGTAAGGTTTGTTATGCTCCAGATCACAACAACTTCAAGTCAAGTATGACTTCATCATAACCACTTGTTTAAATCACATGACATGTGGCATCATCAAATAAATTTGTAATTTATGGTGCAAACAGTTAGAGTACAAGGGCAGTACTTATGGCCACATACAAGTTACATACTATATTATTCTCTATCTGCCCAAAACAAAATCCCCAACAGTGCCCAACACTAATTTAACTCCTGTACAACATACTAGTCATGTGAACCTTCTTTGCAAACCTTAAGCCCTTTACAGGGTTAGTACTCCAATTTATAAAAGATATAGCTTCCACCCCCAAAAGATCTCTGACCCAGTGAAAGGATTAGTTATGTAAGTTTACGAGTAGTTATGTAAGTTTGAACTTGAACTCATTTTTTTTATCAAATACGATATTAAACTTACACTATTGGAAAACCAAGTATATTCGACAAAAAATACTATCGATTATATGGATATTTCTGTCAATTATGTCTTAATCAACAGATATAATCGACAACCATATCTATCATAGAAACAAGAGTCGAAAATGAATATATTCGACAAAAAAATTTTGGTTTAAGTACCATTTTAGTCCCTCAACTTTTCACTTTGATACCAAAATTGTCCCTCAACTTTAAAAAGTACCAAAATTATCCTTAAACTTTCATTTTTGGTACCAAAATGGTCCTTCCGTCAGTTAAATGACAGGTGGCACGTTAAGATGCCACAAAATCATTGACTTTTTTAAATTTTAATTACGTGTAAATCCAACAAAGAAAATTTTTTATACACATGGCATACTTTTTACACATCATATTACCACCTTTTTAACTTTTCCTTTTAATGGGGCCCATGTAACAATTTTTTAACTTTTCTTATTCTTTCTCTCCTCTCTTTTCTGTTCTTCTTCCTCTCCAGATCTGGGTTTGATCAAAACCCAGATCTGCTCTCATTTCTCTGTCTTCTCTAGAATCTTCCAGTCTTTGCTTTCGTCTTCCCCAGATCTCACCTTTTTGTGCCCGGCAGCCCTTGGGCTTGCCGGATTTTTGATGCTTGAGCTGCCGGGATCTCCGGTTGCTCAAGCATGATGGAGCCGATTTCGTGCTCCCAGTTCCGATGACCCTTCTGGTGGTCTTTTTTTCTTGTTTTTTTTTTCTGTTTTATCTGGTTGTTTTGCTTGTTTGTTATCAGATCCGGTGGCTACCAGCCATTACACAGATCTCCAAAGGTGGTCGTCGGATTCCCAGATCTGGTGGCCATGGAGCCTCTCACGGGAGATGGTCACCACCTGATGGGATCTCCCCGCCCTGGTGTCCTTGTTTCAAGAATCGCTGTGGTTTTGCTACGACGAATTCGTCATGAGCGGTGAATTTGAAGATCGACTCCGAGACGAACCTTCCTTCTTTGACAACTTCCACTTCTCGTCGAAATAGAAGTTCGGCTGTGCGGTCACAGTTGTAGCCAGCGCGGTAGCCATGGAATTGATTCTCAGGGTAAAAAACGAAAAACAGACTCGAAGCAAAGAGAGAAAAACCTGAACAGAACAGAACAAAACAGAGGGGTATTGAGTTGTTGAGCTGAATTCACTGAAAAAGCTGGAGAGTGAGGGTGGGTTTTGGGTAATATTTGATTTTATTTTGCAGGAGTAGTAGTAGGTTTAGGGTTTTGAATTTGAAAAGGAAATGAAAAGAGAAACAAAGATAACTTGTGATTTTTGGGGAACTTGATTGAAACTGGAAAAAGAGAGAACAAAATTTTCATGTGGGCCCCACTAAAAAAAGAAATTGAGAAGATGACAATTTGACATGTAAAAAAATGCCACGGTGTCAAAAATGTCATTGCTGGATTTACATGTCATTAAAAATAAAAAAAAGCCGATGATTTTGTGGCATTTTAACGAGCCACCTGGCATTTAACTGACAGAAGGACCATTTTGGTACTAAAAATGAAAGTTCAAGGATAATTTTGGTACTTTTAAAAGTTGAGGGACAATTTTGGTATCAAAGTGATAAGTTGAGGGACTAAAATGGTACTTAAACCAAAAATTTTCTATCGAATATAGGTTGATAATCGACAGCCATATTCTGTCGAATATAACATAATTGACAGTATTTGGCTGACGATAATGGTTTTTGAATTTTTGGCCGATATAATCGATAGTAAATTTCTGTCAAATATTTTTTTTGGCGAATTTTATTTGATTGGATGTCGAATATATCAGTTTAATCGACAGCCAATGGTGTCAAATATGTTTTTTTTTTTTTGTGAATTTTATTTGACAACCAATGGTTGTCGAATATATCAGTTTAATCGACAGCCTATGGTTGTCGATTATATCACTTTAATTGACAACTTTTGGCTGTCGAATATATTGGTCAAAAAAATAAAAAAAAATTCAAAATTCAACAAAATCCAAAATTATTTTTATAATTTTTTTAGTTAATTTTATATATATATATAATCAATAAAATGAAATTTAACGCAATCATCAAG